GATGAGGGTCTAGAACTGTAAGAACAGCAAGTCTCTAACTGCAGAGCCATCTCTACAGCCCCTAATAAGTCACCTTTAATGTTTCCTTTATTACTTGAATAAATGTCTCCATAAATAACAGTATACTTAAGAGAAAACCACTTCCAGATTGTTCTCTGCTCCCGAAGCCACATATGGATTGGAGCATTACACCTAAGAAATCCGGAGACTGACAATGCAGGCTTTCTGCTGCAGCTTCTCAATTAATTAGGTTTTATAAGTGGGAAAGTGTAGACTTTCTATTTCCTAGTTTTAGTTCCAGTGATAGGTACACTATAGAGAGCTCACCTTCCACAAAAGGCAGAGAATACTGTGTGAAACATGGTTTCATGTCAAATATTCATGTGCTCAAATGACCATTTTATATTTTATAAGTGTTTTATAAATATATATATTTATCTCCATATATTTATATATAGTTATATATATTTTATAGGTGATATATTTTTCATTTTTATGTCTATTAACTGTGACTATAAATCTCAAGATCAGCTTACTGTGCCTCTTCAGCATATGCTGTGTGCCTGATACAAGCTGCCTGGGTTATACCACAGCATTGTGTGATTGTAAAACTGCACCTGGCCTAGGTTGGGGACAGGCTTTTAAAGTTGCTTAATATGGTAGCATTAGACAAAAAGAAAGAAAGGGAGAAAAAGGCCAGACGAACAAAAGAGTACTTTCAGGCTTGTGAATTGTCTCTCAGCAAAGGGGGGTTGTGTGTATAATTGCTTTTAGTTGTTTTTGTTTATGGAGCGCCTGCAATTTCCCTGGGCCAGATTCTTAGTCAAAAGAAAAGTACCAAAGTGCTGCGGCAACAGCTGTCTGCAGTCCTTCAGGGTGCTAATTCCCAGCCCAGCAATGTGCTCTTTCTTGTGAAATGATGCTTTCTGGATATAAAACTCTGTGTCCGTCTCCAGTGCCTTTACGGAGAGCGTCCTTATAAAACCAGGCTGTTTAACAGACGTCGTGAAGGGGAAAACAACTGACCTCCTGTGGGGTTCGCCAACCCTTCTCTGAAGTAGTCTGAGGATCTCATTTTATACAAATCCCACTGCTTCATTCCTCCTTTAAAAGAGGGACAATGCTGGAGGCGGCCTTTGTATTTTCAGCGGTGTGTAGCGCCTTGTCGATTCTGAACACTTGTTAGAGCAATCAGAAGGGCTGTGCTGAGTTACACAAAACCCTCCTCATTTCGGCTATTCGGCTAATTTCCTATTATGTGAAAGGTGTGTGTGTGTGTGCGTGTGTAAAACCATATGTATATGTGTGCATGTATGCATTTATGTGTATAAATGAAAATGTATGATTTATCCTGCAGTGGCAGGAATTCAGGCCAGCCTTAGTTGGTGAATTTAAATCTAGCCTGACTGCTTAAAAACCTGTCTCAAAGCCGGGCATGGTGGCACATGACTTTGACCAGCACTTGGGAGGCAGAGACCAGCAGATCTCAGAGTTCTAGGATAGCTGGGGCTACCCAGAAAAACCCTGTCTCAGAAAAACAAACAAACAAACAAACAAACAAAAACCTGCCTCAAAGATAAAAACGGCATGCATAAATAGCCGTGCACACAGAGTATGAAGGACTCACTTGGGTTGATTATACTGCATATATCACATTTTTAAAAAAAACTTAAAATATTATTTATTTATTTTTAAAAACTATATAATTTTGTTAACAAAATCTCATAAATTGAATGCCATAGCTGAGTTCAGAAGTTAAAGTCTGTTAACGGGGAAAGAAGCCCCTGCCAGGGATAACAGAAGGATGGGGAAAGAAGCTCCTGCCAGCCGTGGCTGAGTGTAGAATCCTTGCTGTGTGTATCGTGGCATTGTGAAGAACAGTGGGAAGAACAGGGTGCAGGAAAATGACATCATTTAAAATCAATGCAGCTCTATTATGTGAATTCACAGGGTTTTTTTTTTTTTGTTTTTTTTTTTTGATAATATGAGCAAAGGAGATCAGTTATTTTATAGAAAAATGTGCAGCCTGCCTGTTAAAAATGAAGTAAGTTAAAATGTTAAAACACCTCTGTTGATAAAAATAACGAACTAGATTTTTTTTTTTAACCTCTGTGGAAAACAGGCATGTTGTTGCTGGTGTGGCTGAACCTCAGTGGTTTGGAGAATAATTAGTTCATATATTTGGAGGGTGCCGACGATGATGACAATGATGACAGTGTGAACTAGACGCTGCTGAGTGAATGCTAGGAATGAGCATTTGGAGGAAAGGTGGCCATCTTGTCTCCATGCTCACATTTGCCACCGTGAGTCCCTGAGCGCATCATACAAAGCCTTCTGGTGGCAGCTCGCCTTTCCAGGTCCATTGATGTTTACGCTGCAAGTTACTAGCCTACAGGGCACACATATTTTAAAAACTGAAAACTGTGCTCAATTCCCCTTTTGACCCTATTTTTGAAAATTGATCTTTTGTTTCCCTCATAGATGGATTCTTATTTAACTTTCGAAATTTTATTCAAATAGCACTTTGTCAGAGAACTCTTTCCAGAGCTGTTGTCCTGGGTGTGGCTACCTGGACTGTGTCTCAGCCTGAGCAATGATGACTGCTTATGCGCTAAGTTCCCTGGGACTGTGCTTTCCAGCAGCTGCTATTTTTTTTTTTCTTTTACCTGTAAGGCTTCTTCATAGCGCTCCTGCAGTGAATGTCTTGGAAGGGCAGAGGGCAAACCCAGTGCCATTTGCTAAATACTGCCTTGGGTTCTGCAACACTGAAGCTTGTCATGTTGACTTGGGCTTAACTCAGCAGTAATCAAGTCCGAGCCGTTGCACGAACGGATGTGCTGTGTTTAGTACTAGGCTACCTTGCTTCCCGAAAGGATCCCCTTGGTGTTTATATTTGTTGCATTGCTTATTTGCTAGAAGAGAAGCTTTCTCTGGGTCGATATCAGGTTCTTAGAGTTTTATGGATTAGACTAGCTAAGCTGAGCTGCCACAAGTGAGCAGTTCCCTGTTACATAATATTTTTATGAGGAAAAGTGCTTAAATGCTTATATTCTCAGGAAATAAATTTTAGATAAAAAAGAAAGCTTTTGCAAACCATAGTTGAAAAATCTCCTCTTATTTATTCATCCGTATAAATGTCTTCAAGCAAAAATTGATGGTCCAAGATACAAAATGAATTTATGTAAAGATTATGCAGTTCGTTTTGGCTATGTGGATGGTCTACTGCAGTTGACAGAGACCACACTTGACAAGACAGATGTTTCTTGTCTTTATGTTTAGATGCAGGAACCTCGGACAAGCATGGTGATCTTGTTCTATTTGGTTTGAATTTTGAAATGATGGCTGATGGTGTAAGGGTAGCAGGAACCACTTACTGGTTAGTATTTGAAATTTAGTATGTGTTAATTGCCTTTAAAATTCTGTTTACTGAGTTTATTGAGTAACCAGCAGTTGTGGATTGACTGAAGTAAAAACCATAGTTTTATTGATGGTGCTTTTATGGCTGTGGCAAGATAATAGCCTTGACAATAAATGTTTGGTGAATTATTTGAAAGTTTGGACAGTTTTAGGGGAAAGGTCATTAGTCTACAATCACTTGCAAAATCCTGCGACATGTGTCGTGGTGCTCACTCCTTGGAGGGAGTGGACGGACACAAATATTCCACCAGACAGAGGAGGTGAAATAAAGTGTTCTTGTGCTCTGAGGACCAGAGTTCATTCTGAGACCATGTGATGGTGGGTGACTGGGATGTCTTTGAAGGACGTGGGGAGCATTTGATAAATAATACTGGAAGAGAGGGCTGTGGGGAGCCCTGGAGTGGCAATGCGGGTGTGGTGGGGGGACTGGGAATGTGAAGTCCTTAGAGGATGTTCAAGTTGGCTGCCTGTTACCAGGCAAGGAACATTTTACCGTTGTTTGGTGCTGTCTCTGCTTTAGGTTGTTGCCAATATCCTTGTCTTTTTTTTTTTTCTTTACTTGATAGGATGACAAAGGAAAGCTTTATGTTGGATAGTATACTTCGACAGCTCTTCATTGATTTGCTAGTTTACATTATTTAGGGCACTTCTTTGATCTATGCTCATCTCTTAACACCTGCTGAATATGATTCTAGTTTAGATGGGATTATTGTTGGATTTTGAATTGATGCATCATTTGCAGATGTGTGACTCTTACAAGGTGGTGTAAACATAGTCTTCCTAAGGGGCTACACTTCAAATGCTTTCAGAAGTCAGAAGACTGTGTCATCACCTTTTATCGACCTATTCTGTTGATGATGGAGAAAGTTCGTCTCCCACAGAACAGTGGAGTGCTAACGTGATTTCTCATTTATGCATGCAGGAACCTGTATTTGGGGGCACAAAACAGTCTTAAGTCAAGCTTTAATTTGGGTTCTGTACAGTTTATCATGGTCACTTTGGAAATTCAGCAGGACATGCTGCTGATTCTTGCCACAGTGGCTTTGTTTTGGAGGATCAGTTTTCTTCGAGTGGTTCTTTGCTTCTCACATGGTGAGTCTTCCAAGCAGAACCAAGATGGCATGCCCCGTCCTTTAAAGAGATGAGTTGATACATAATGATGTGTAAAAAGTCTACATAAAAATGCTGGTCCTAGCTGATATGAGGCCCCCAACACATATACAGCAGAGAAGGTGCACCTAACCCTCCAGGAAGTAGGGAGGTCTGGTGGGGTAGGAGGTGGGGACATCCTCATGGAGATGAGGTAGAGGGTTGAGGTGGGATGGGATGGGATGGGAGGAGGTATGGAATGTGGAACAGTCAGAGGGTGGACCTGGAAGGGGATAAAGTCTAGACTATAAAAAAAGATTAAATAAAAAAATAAAAAAAAAAAAACCAGTAAAACTGCACCTCTGGAGGCATAAAATGTAAGCAAAAGACAAGTGAGAAAAAATAGGCAAATCTATATGAGAATATATATCTATAAAAAAAATGCTGGTCCTGTTAAATATCTCTTAAGGCTCCTTCTGACTTTTTGCTTTTAGGCTGTCCATCTGGCCCAGGCAAGCTTCCAGATCGAAGCCTTTGGCTCCAAGTTCATTCTTGACCTCATACTGAACAAGTAAGTATATAGCAAATTTTCCTGGGAAGCAGGGACAGTAAAACTTCAGTTCTAAGATGCATCAAAGCAATGTCTGCGCTGAAGCAACTGATGTTTTCTAGCACATTATTTGGCAAAGAATTCTTGAAGAAGAGGGAGAAGACTGAATAGTAGGTGCATCTTTAATTTCCTTTCCTGAAATAAGACATTTATCAGGTTAAATAGAGAACTTACATATTATGATTCTTTGTAACTTTTACTGAGTTGTCGATGATTTCAGACTTTCATACATATATTAGGAATACTCTGATTACTGTAACCTCACCTCCCCTTTCCCTTCAAGTCTCCTTTCCACATTCATATCTTCTTTTCCATTTTTTGAGACCCACTGAGTTTAACCAGAATTGGATGTGTGACCATGGAGAATTCAAAACTATCCACTGGAGTCTGATGGGATTATCAGTGGGTACTACCAAAGACAATCACCACCTTTCCCTCAGACTCTACCAATAGCCAATAGTTCAGTAAGGAGGGGTGGAGCCCTGCGAGCCCCTCTCTGGTCCATGATTGACTGTGGCTTGGCCTAGTCTTGCCATATTATAATTTTAAAATGGATAAATATTTGAAGTAATGCTAGTTAATTAAATGCTAACTGTAATAATTACTATATAAGAAGCAAAACAAATTACTGACTGAGGCATAATTAGACTTAAGTCTAGAGATTTCTTCCATGTTACTTTTTATAACGCAACACACATGACTTCTGTAGGAAGAAGAAAACAAGCAATGACTCACGTGTATCTAGTTTGAGAAGGCTCTTTGCTTCATAATTCCCATTGATGTAGATTCTTTGAAACTTTGTACTGATGAAAATTTATCCCACTGTCTCTGTGCCTGTGTTTATTCTGATATTTAAATACTTTCTTTTAAGTTGGGACAATTTTTACAGGTGTTCCTGTGCAAAGTGTGAACAAGAGCTCTTGCTTTTGGTGAAGGTGGTTTCCCATATCAGTCTCTTTACTTATAGAGACACTAGACTGGATTTTCAGCTCTCGTCAATAGTTTAAACAGGATTACATTTTATAAGAAATAATTACTTAATGCTACCAGACGCAATAATGCAGGTGACTGCAGCCAACATCTGAGCAATTGCAGAAGACTATTAAATTTCTTGTATGTCAAATTCTGTTAGCTCTGCAGAAAAAAGTTGCAGAATAAGCTTAGGTGCTCCTTACCCAAGTGTTATTGCAGCTTTAAGTCAGAATGAATCAGCAGAACTCAGAATTTCTGTGTTAAAGATATTGCAGGTTTTCTTCTTTGGTTGAGTTCCAGTTCACCATGCTCTGTCAGCAGTGTGCCTGCATAAGAGGTTGTCTTGCCAAGTCATGGAGTACCAGGATGAGGCTAATTTTAGTTTGTCTTAGTCCTCTACATATTTGATGCTGCCTGAGGTGGAGGTTGCAGTTAGTACTGCAGTGCACTTTGGAGGGCAGCTCTGCTTACCACTGCACCACTACTGCTGCACCAACTGCTGTGTATTCTGAATATTAAAGTAGCATGACCACAGCAGAACTTTCCAGACAAAGAAGAAATGTCTGAGAAAGGGTCTTATGGCATGCCCAGGGAACTTAGAGGCAGACCAGAAAATATTCATTACCTAACATTTAATGTGCAGAAGAATCAGATTGAACACCTATTGTGAATATCCCTGTTTGAAGAATTGAGTCTAGTTGGGTAGATAGATAAAAATAACACTAGAAGAGTGTGGAGTGGTTAACGTGGAATGGTATAATAGTGTGACCAAGCCAGTCAGTACAGTCAGTGAAGAAAGTCTTCTTACTTGTAGCCTTGAAGGACAACACTGGGAATAAGTTAATTGCTTAACAGGCACTGTCTATTTGCACACAGAAGGCTAGGGATTTCATTGGAAGACTCATGCATATTCATATTGGAAAGAGTTGTCTCATCACATGAAGACTTTCACACATTCATGACCATGTTCAGTAGGAGACATTGAATAAACTTCCTCATAAATCACATGTTCAAAAATGGTGGATGGCAGTAGCCAGAGAATATAAATTCTCATATACAGAATTTAGCAGTATTATTAAAAAGTTTATACTTTGATTACCTGGAGTAAAAGTCAGCAATTTTGCTTGGTTTAAAATGGCGCCTTATTTGATCATAATACCAAAACAACCTAAAAGGATGTCAGTAGGCATTTAAAGGGACATCTTATTTCTCATGCACCTATGCACCTAAAAGTTCCACTTTCACACCAAGGAGAGGCAGCTCTTCAGGTAGGAGGAATGTGAAAATAAATGTTAGAAGGGGTACTGTTGGAGACATACCTTGTAAGACATGCAGATCATGTCTTACATCAGCAAGGCAAATATTGAGAAATGGGGGGAGGGGAGAGGGAGATGAAGATGGAGAAGATGGAGAAGTACATCTAGGCATTGAAAGGTCAAGAGAGACAAGTAAGATGGATTATTTTTTGGTAAGGTATTTATTAGAGGAATCATTAACATCACAGATAAACAGATGGTTATGGTGGGGAATTTGAAGAGAGTTAAGAGCCACAAGGCTAAGCAAGGGTCCCTTCTTACAGGTTTCAGAGAGTGGGGAAATCCATGTTATGAGGTTGATGGTTAAGCCCATAGTTGTGCTTGCAATCAGATTGTTTCTGATTCTCAGGCAGCAGGAGGATTGGGAAAGCTTAAGTTCTTTAGTTAGTGTGTGCTTGTATAGGACGAGACACCTTAGCCCCTGATTGCTAACTGTGCTTGGTGAAATTCCTTTGGGGGAATTGAGGATTGCAGACTCACAGACAGCATGGCAGAGTGCTTGTCGTTTCTATTATAGCAAATAAAAGGGTATACAGAGAAAGAAGCCTGGGTAGCACCTAGCCCAAATTGAACAGATCTGCAATAGTATATGTTATGAAAGCAGAGACATAAATGCAATGTGTGAAGGAAGTGTTGGCCCTTTGTTGAAATAAATTACAAGGGTAAGACAAGGGGAGATAACTCTGATGATCTAAGCTGAGGGGTAGCTCAACTTATCGGGGTTTGTGACCCAGGTCTAGAAGCTCATGACCTGGGAAAACCAGTACTTGGGAGATGACTAAAGGGCTTACTCAATGGTTAAGAATGGGAAAGGGGCACTTTGCTCAGAAATCAGTCTTTGAGTTTCACGGAGCTGAGTTATAGATGCACAGCACCGAAGGAGAGAGAGAAACTATATAAAGAATGATATACCGGAGAACAAGTAAAGAACTTTCTGGAACTCAGTGCTACCTATTTCCACTCCTTTCAAAGTCTGATATTTCTTAATGTGGAGCTGGAGGAGGAGGAGAGAGATTAGGTCAAGTTAGAATGTTAGAATTATGGACAAATCATTTCTTATTGGTCAGCATGTTTGTTTATGAGAGCAGAGCAGAGTCAGATCCAAAGGTTCAGAAAGAAGAGAAGGAGGAAGAGGAGGAAGAAGAAGAGGAGGAGGAAACCCAACTGAATAACCACTAAACAGCAGCAGCAGCAGCAGCAAGAACAACAACAAAAACTAAGAAACCCCGCACAATATGACGAGAAAGATGCCAAGCCTTTTCATCCTTTCCTAGTCACCCAGGAGGCCACACACAGGTCCCAGTAAAGAGTCTGCAGTCTTAAAGTTCCTTAAAAAGTAACCCAGGGAAACATTACGATTATAGTCCACATGGCAGAGATGTTATCCACCAGGAATCTAGTGGACATTAATAATGTGTCACTCAGAGGCCTGGTGTTCACAATAAGTGATCTTGATGTTGTCTAAAGCAAGTGAAGCTTGAGCATTTAATTTTTTTTCTTTGATTAAAAACTCATGAATGGTCTAGAACCATGTACTTGGGAGTCATTCCCAAAGTTGTAAAAAGTCAAGGGTACTAAACAGAAGTCTTGTTCTCAGGCAGTGCTAAGACACACAGGGAGGGGATACTTGTAAGAAGTCTTCAGTTAGTAAAAATCATTAGAATTGGTTTCATGGGGACGAGAAAGCAGAAGAAAGAGTTAAAGCCTACAGAAGTGTTGTGATTAGACAGTTTGTGTCTAGAGAGTAGTTCAATAAAACTAGTGGAGAAATGTGAGCTGGAGGGAGTTGCCTTGTGAGTCACTTCTGTATAAACATTAATGACAAATAAGTCTTTAAATGGAGAGGAGAGGCAGAATAAAGAGAGCTGGGAGATAGACAGGAGGCGGGGAGAGGAACCTGTGAAGGAGGCAAGCGACTGCGGAAGTGGGAGGAGAATCTGCAGAATAATGATGTTGACAGTTTCAAAAGTGAAAGATGTGATTCACATCATTATCTGCAGTTGAATGCTCTGGTAAGTTAAGCAATAAGCATCCTTTGGATTTTCCAGTTGATTTGTCACTGGTGGTTGTGAGAGAGTGGTTTTAGTCAAGCTGAGGGTGTTGGGGAGGAACCAGTTACATAAGGTGGGGACAGCAAATGGTCACTGAAGGATTGGGTGAGTGTAGAGGAATTTTAATCCAGCAACATAGTTCCTTTGGCAAGGGATCACATCCAAAGATATGATCTGGCCAGAATGCAGACATACCCTGGATTTTACAGTATGATCTGGTTGGAATACAGACATACCCTTAGCACACACATTTAATTCCAAACAATGAAGATAAGGTTTGTTTGTAGAGGAAGCAGCCATATTTGAAAGTGACATTTGAGGGGCAAAGTAACAAATCAGAGAGATTTAACAGAATGAGTCAGGGATAGGATATGCCCAACTCTCACGTGTACAGCAGAGAAGTAGAGGCTACCTAAGAGCAGCAAGAAAGAAAAAAAGAGATGTGTTATGGGTGTTGTGAGTCTATGGGCAGTTTTACTTGGACAGTTTAATAGAGACAGGTTACAAAGAGAATAAGCATACAAGTGAAGACAAAATGAGTTAGAGAATGAGAAGGAGCCTGAAGATCAAAACAAATTGCTGAGGTTTCCATGAGGCCAGACAAGAGCAATTCAGTCAGAAG